AGATATATATATAGAGATATATATATAATCACACACATACATATAAAATCACACACATATATGTGCACAGGTTCTTTATAGAGAGTGAAGAAAGTTTATAAATTCAGCAGTAGATCAAATCAATATTTTGTCCACTGTATGTTGATCTTGGTTAATAAGGAACTAAGTTCATCTATTGATCTTACATCAACATGAATCTGAGCAGGTTACTAGCATTTAATGGAGGTTATATCTAATATTTCTTGAAAACCTATTTGTGCTTTTATTRTAACAAACAGAAACCAGATCAGTACTCATCTTTAACATTATTGTTTACTTGATATTAATATTTTTTTGTTTGTTTGTTTTTCAGATTATGKATTTCAACACTCCAATAGTTTTAGATACGGGATCTGGTTTAATGAAAGCAGGATTTGCAGATCAGAAACGGCCAAATGTCGTATTCCCAAATATAGTTGGAGTTCCAAAATATGAAGTAAGACTATTCACTTCTTCTYCTCCTTTTTTTWAAACAAGTTTAAAATCATGAAGATTAGATTTAAGCAAGTGAGAAGTCATATGGCAGAATTATTGACCTATATTTAGGTACAGTACTTCTTATAATTGAAGGATAATCAATCGATTGTTGGATCCATCCGATAGTTTTTATATTTCGGAGTAGGGTTTCGGTTTTGTGTAAAAAAATAAAAAAAGGCAATTCTCAGGAATCAAAAAGATTTATTTACAAAATAAAGGTGCTGACTGAGCAGCAAAGAGTACTTACAAAAATCCAAAATCACAAAAAAGGACATGAAAGAGGACAGGGGACAATGTTAACTGGCATAGGAAGCACAATGTACTGACAGTGAAGAGAAGACATGACAGAATAGAAAGGGACTATTTTAAATGTGTGAGCACAGTTTTCCTGTTTTTACAGGAAATAATGAATGGTAACCTGGAGAGGGACATGTACATCGGCCACGATGCTCAACAAATGAGAGGAGTTCTGGCTCTGAGGCACCCTGTAAGGAATGGGATCATTACCAATTGGGATGACATGGAAAAGGTAATAAAGTATATTTGTACAACAATATACTGAGAAGAAATGGATTGTCTGAAATGTATATCTTTATTTTTTGTCGACTGGTTCTGAAAAATAATATCTAATTTATTCAAGTGGGAATTATGGATCATTGAGCGCAAGAAAAAAATTAATACATTTTAAGACTGACTCAAATAATGTGGATGGATATGGATTTGATAAGCCTCTTGTGATTATCTTGATTTAAGCAAGACAAAATTTGGTTACGTAACAAAAATGAGGGTGAAACTGAAATGAAATTGTTAAATCGCTGCTTAAACTGTAATATCTGGCACCAGAATAAATTCTAGCCAAACCAATTATAGTCACTATACCTGACCTAAGTGCTTGATGATTAGAGCGCCAACAGATTCAGAAAATTAGGTAGAAAGGAAGSTTTGTTTCAATGAGCTATAAACAGGGTTCATGCAGGGTCTTAAAAAGTCTAAAAAAGGTCTAAAATTCAAAAGTCAAAATTTTAGGCCTAAAAAAAGTCTTCAAAATGCCCAGATTTTCATCCAAGGTCTTAAATTTAATTTTGTCAAGTCTTAATTTCTTTACTTTTGATGATTCCTGAGAAGCGTTGGCTGCATAAATGAGCAACAGCAAAGCATYGTAATCAGAGGTTGACTTGATCTGTCTCCATAAAGTGCTAAGTTTACTTCTAGTCTTTGTGCACGTTAAACTACAAATCCTGTGATAACTGCAGGAAAAAATGGCACAGTTCATTTCCATGTTTTTGACCTCTTTACCGCTACAACCCCCCCTCAGACAGGGGCTTATTTACTTGCCCAAAAAACAAAGAAGTTCAGTCATGTCCACTGCTTGTGGTTTAAACATGGGAAAGTGTGTTTTCAAAGAGACTTGGCTGGATATAAGGGATTTTTACATTCTGTTGGAAGCGGTCCACAGCAGTCGATATGAAGGTCTCATAAATATATGACCCTTTCATAAAAAATAATTTTGTGTTCTTGTATTAAAAATAAAAATTCTTTAACAGCTAAATTGATAGCAATAAAATGTTTTTTATGATAAAATTTCTGGGACCATTTGAATGTTTTTATTAATGTGTCATTTTGGTCTTAAATGTCATTCCTGTTGGTCTTAAAAGGTCTTAAATTTAACTTACTGAAACCTGCGTGAACCCTATATAAAGAGATTTATCCATGWATGTAAGTTTGTGTTTATTTACCTTGACTGTCAGTTTTCTATCTAGATCTGGCACCACACGTTCCAGCACCTCACAGTGGACCCTGAAGAGCATCCTGTTTTACTGACCGAGGCAGCCATGAACCCCCTAGAGAACCGGCAGCGCGCGGTGCAGATCATGTTTGAGAGTTTTAATGTTCCGTTCACCTATGTGGCCATTCAGGCAGTGCTGGCACTCTACGCAGCAGGAAGGACCACAGGTAAAGTGCTTATTCCTTCTACAAACATACAGTTTCAAACATGAACCCTGCTGTTAGTGATGGGCAGCTCATGAAGCTCTGAGGCTTTCTTTCTAATTGTGTAAAAAAAGATTCAAGTCTGACAGAGAAGAGTGACATGTGCTGGTCAGCTGATGCCACAGCAAGAGCTGGACTGAAGCAACATCATTATACTGAGGCTGGATCCTCATGAGYATGTAGCCCAGCTGGGCCGCATCCTTCCCAGTCTGGGTAGGCTGCATGAAGCTGCTGTGAAATGACGTTGGCTTGACTTATGTTTGTGTGACCACGTGCTACAACATTACCATAGTGACTGGTTTCATGTCAGACTTAAAATGCGTTGGGTCATGTATTCACACATCTTGCAAAAAAATTCTTCAGTCCATGGTAAATTTCCAAAATATTCCGACTTGAGAAAAATAAAACCTCCACCGTCTTTGTTTCTCTGTTTAGTTTGCTGTCGGCGCATTGAATCCTGGGATATCCTTGGCCGGGAAGAATACTCCGGTGCATCCTTGATTTTTGAGATTTTCTCTGGAAGAGAGACAGAAAATTCTCTTTTAATATAAATAATAATAACAAACATGTAGAGGAGAGTGATTAAAGAGAGAAGCAGACTGAAGAAATGTGATCAGTTTGTTCTCCAGCAGTTTAAACCTATAGCAGCAGAACTAAGGGTTAACTCAGGAAACCTAAGTCTAACTATAGGATTTATCAAAAAGGAAAGTCTTCAGTCTAATCTTAAAAGTAGACAGAGTGTCAGCCTCACGGACAGAAACTGGAAGTTAGTTCCACAAGAGAGGAGCTTGATAACTGAAAGCTCTGCCTCCCATTCTACTTTTAGAAACTCCAGGAACCACAAGTAAACCTGCAGTCTGAGAGCGAAGTGCTCTCAGAACAATAAGATCTTTGATATAAGATGGAGCTTGGTTGTTAAGAGCTTTGTATGTTAG